ACACGATTTGCCTTGCGGAACATTTCATGCGCTTTGTGTACATGCTCATTCTGAAAGGGATTAAACGTTAGTCAAGTTAAACAAAACCTAAAAAAGTTACTTATAGTTCTTACAGAAAGCGAAAGTCCCCGACGTTGTGGCGCCTGTTGCGTCTGCTGTTGCTGTTGTGCTGCTTGTTGCTGCTGCTGCGACTGCACTTGGACCTGCACAGTGCGAGGCATAACCGTATTCGTGGTGTTGACCTGCTGGCCGGCACTGTTCGTGGAGGTGACCAATCGCTGCTGCAGAGTCGGAGCTGGCTTGTGTTGTAGCAGAATTTGCTGCTGCTGCTGCTGGCGCGGCTGCTGTTGCGGTGCCGTTACTGCCGCAGATGCCGATTGTGTAATAATCGTTCGCTGCGTACTGTTCGGCGCCGCCTGCACCTGCACCAGCTGCGGCTGCTGGCCCGGCCGCTGTATCAGCGTCAGGCCCTGCGGCAGCGTGGTCAAACCTCCACCAACGTTCGTCATCACCGGGCGTATGATGGTCTGCTGCGGGGACTGATATTCAAAATGGTATTCAATATGTTAAAATTAAAATTAATATTAATAATTATTGCAATCTACAGCTTTGCAGCTGAGACTGCCACTTACATTTCCAATCACATTACTTGGCTGCTGTTGCTGCACAATAACGTGCTGGCCTCCAAGCGAACTGGTTGGAATCAGCGTGGGTAGCATCTGCTTTCCTTGCTGACTCGAATGCTGCTGCTGCTGCTGCATGTGTACGCCCGTTGACGGAGTGGTCTTGACCAGGCTGGGCGGACCTGCCGCCGTGGTTGTCATGAGCGTGGTCCCGAGTCCCTGCAGGCCGCCCACATTGCTGATCGGAATCTGCTGGTACATGTCTCCGCCAATATTCCGCAAAATTACCCCCTTTTGGGTCAGTATAATCGTTTTGTTTTTGCCTGTCGTTGGAGACACATTTAGCGCAGAGACACCGCCCGGTCCCACTGTGCTGGTTGGCTGCATCAGTACCTGCGACAGTTTCGGCTGCTGCGTGGCCGTCGTATTGGCCACGATTGTGTGCTGCGGATGGGGCTGCTGCTGCTGCAGCTGTGCCTGCAAGTGCTGCTGCTGTGCGGCCTGTGACGCTGGCTGAATTGTGACTGGTCTGTTTGGCAGCTGTACATTCTGTATGTTTAGTGTCGTCGATTGCCCGGCGGCGCCCACTGCCGCGGAGGTGGCCACCAGTGGCGGTGGATTCGATGAGACCACAGTTGTTGTCTGCTGCTGCTGCTGCTGGCGCACTGGTGTCATCACCACTCCCGACGTTCCCGAGGTTTTTAGCAATATCTTGGTGGGTTGCCCTCCATTGCCGCCAGCCGTGGTCTGGTACAGCGTTGTCGTTTGCGGCAAGGGACGACCGTGTGTAAATGATGTCAGCGTGGGCAGCATCGGTTGCTGTTGCTGCTGCTGCGACTGCTGTTGTTGCTGCTGATGCTGTTGGGGTGTGGCCAGTATATACTGTGTTTGCTGTTGTTGCTGCTGCTGCTGCTGCTGTTGTGGCTGTTGAGATGTGACCAAGTGCTGCTGTTGAATCTGTTGCATTTGTTGTTGTTGCTGCTGGTGTTGCTGCTGCTGCTGTTGGGATGCTGCCGCAGCTGCGCTCGATGTTCCAGCCTGCTGCTGTGCCCGCTTTGCTGGCTGGATGATCGTTTGCGATATTATCACCGGTCCACTGTTTGTGGCCGTCTTCAGCTGGCTCAGCGGCATCGTTTTTATGGCTTGTGACGGTATGGTTGTGGTGGTGGTGCCGCTGCTGCTTGCCGTAGCCAATGACTTCTGCGTGGAACAGAGGGAATTCATTATATACTAAACAACAGCGAAGTACAATTAAAACTTACCGCTCGCTGGGCACTGGGGGACGAGGCCAGTATGACGGGTGTCGAGCTGTTGATCAGAATGGGCTGATGTTGCTGTGGCGCTTGCTGGATCTGTATCTGTTGCGCTTGGCCAGTACCCTGACTGCCGCTTGCCGCTGACGTTGCCGGTGCCGATCCTGACGCTGCCGCGGCAGCCGCCTTTGCCTTGGTGGATGTTATCTTCACGGAAATATTATTGGGCAAATTGGCCAATGGATTGGCCGCCTGCCTCAGCTGCTGCGGGGTGAGTATGGTGGTCGTGGTGGTCGCTGTGCTAGTTGATGGCGATGCTGTGGTCCGCAGCATGGGCTTAATGTCCAGTTTTTCCATTTTGATTGTGGTATTGCCCACGGTTGTTGTTGCCGTTGCCGTCGCATTGTTCTGTCGCTTCTGCGGTGAAGTGCGGATGAGCAGATGGGGAGGCCGTTGCAGTGTTGCTGATGCTGCTGGTTCTTGCTGCTGTATGATGACACGCTGTTGCTTCTGCGATGGAGATGTCTCGATCTTTTCCAGCTTAATGGTGGCGGGCACAATGATTTCCTCGCTCTTGATCTCGATCTCCTGTTTAATCCGTTTTGGTGTATGGTTGAAGCTGTTGTTGTTATTGTTGTTGTTCATCTTCTTTCGCGCCGGTTTCTGCTTACTAGCCTCGGCCGCTGGCGTCTTGGCCTGCTGTGACTCTGTCACCGCAGTGGCCGGCGCCTGTGCAAAGTCCAGCGTGGTTGTGGCATACTCTGGTGTCTCCGGATCGCACTCCATCGCCAGCTCAGTTTTGCTGGCCAGTTCGGGCCCCTTGAAGTCCTCGTCCTGCGGCTCCTCCAGGCTGCCTGAGCTTTGGTTGAGTCCCTGCGGCTCCATCTTGATTTCGAAGCTATTGTTGGCCGAAGTGGGCGTGACGGGTGTCTCCCCACCACTGGCCGTCGCTCCATCTGTGGGCGAACTGTCGCCGGTGTTGGTCGCTGCAGTTGCTGCCGCAGCGGATGCAGCCGCCGCAGCAGCCAGCTCCTTTTTCTCCTTGTTCTTCTGCTGCTCCTCCAGCTGCTGCTCACGCTTGCGCTTCTTGGCCGCCGCATAGCCCAGCGGCTGCTCTGTGAACTCGATTAGCTTGATGCCGCCATCCTTGCGGCCGGCGGGAGTGCGACTCAGGTTGGGTCGCTGAGCAGCATTGGCCGGCACAGTGGCCGAGCGAAAGCCTGTGGTGGGCATGCGGGAGGGTATGCCCTTGAGGGGCGTGGTGTCCGTCATCTTGCGGGGCATGCCGCGCGATCGCAGCGGAATTGTGGGTGCCGAGCCCTTCTTCAGCGACGATTGCGCGTCCGCCGACTTGTGGAGCAACTCTGTCCGCAGCTGGGCGCTCTTCGGCTTGCGCTTCAGTGTGAAATGCTTCACTGGAGCCGGCTGCTGTCCAACCTATAGGAAGGAAAGAAAATTATAATTTAGTGGCAAGAATTAATATAAATTGAATTTAACACCTACCACTGAGATCAACGCATTCTTATTTAGGTACTGACACTCCAGGGGCAGCATTCCCAGGTCTGAATGCTTATTCACCAATTTTCGCAAATCATTGACCATGTCTGTGAATATGGGGCGCGTGTCCTCGTAGTCGGAGATTTCTGTGTTCAGCGAGCTCGTGGCCGGAAACGTTTTCATCGTCTCGGCCAGCATTGAGACCCACAGCTCCGAGTCCAGCCCGGCCACCTCAATCACCTCCTCGAGCTCGGCCTTCCACTGCAGATGCAAAAACAACAAAAAAACAGTTAGGAATTGCCTGCAGAAACCACCCACAACACTCACGCACCCATCCACTCACGTACCCATACTCGAACACACCCACACACAAATACATAGAGAGAGAGAGACAGTGGGAGAGCGAGAGTGGGAGATTGGTAGAGAGAACAATGTGTACACAAAAGTAGAAGTGGCGGGAAACATTTTGTTAATATTTATTTCCCCATCAGCAGACCGAAAAACATGAAATGATTGCTACAGATAATATACGAGCAAACAAACCCATGCTCTGGCTGATTAGATTTACAAGTATCACAATTTACGGTTATTTACAGCATTAATTGTATTTCACCAAAGCGTGCATGTGTGTGTGTATGTTCTGGTGTACTGTTTCGTTATACCCTTGCAGGTGGGAGGATGATAAAATTCTCATCAGGTGCGCACATGCCACAATCAAAACTATAAAGATTCATGATCAGCACTACTATAGTCACATTTCTATGCGAATCATAATTTTCACTCAGTTAAGCCCCTGCAGCGAACTGCAAGGGTATATGCACTTCGGCGCACCTACGTTCGTTCATGCACTTTTCTCATTCATTTTTTTTTTTACACCAACGCCAGCCATTTACCTCTTCCACCAGACGGCGCGGAATATGCAGGAAGCTGAGCAGCAACTTGAGTTTGACCTGTGTCTGCAAATCGGGAAAGCATTCCTTGATGTTGCGCAGAACCTCTTTGTTTAATTGCGAGCATATTGAGCCGTTTATCCACGAATCGTTTGATGTTCCCAGTTTATTATGCAGCCACAGTGATGTGTCGCTGTCCCTTACGTTCGCCATTTTTTACGTTTACGCCACTACCCGCGCCGAGAACATGCAACTTTTAGCGTTAAACGATGTCCCGTACTCTTGCACGACACTATTTAATTGAATTTCCCAATTTTAATTATATTTTACGACAACAAAACACACGATAAATCCTTCGAAAATTGTAATAGGAAGCGCACGCACACGCACACATAAATGATGAAAAAAGTGTTGCCACCCGTGGGACCGTTCGACCCTTGGAAAAATACCTAAATATACCATGTCATTTTCGAAATATACCGAAGAAAATAATATTCCTCACTTATGATTTTCGGCTGATGTTACTGCTAACTGGGAGAAATAACTATATTAACATCATTTTATCCAACATCCGATTGATGAATCAATTTTCTAAATTAATGGCTAATTTTAAAAACTAATTCTGAAGAAAGGCGCTGCCACATGGGCTGCCAAGTGAAACCCTACCACAGCATGTTTACATTTACGTTTTTCGTACTAGTTGGGTTAATAGCAAAAAACTATTAACCCATTGCCGACCAATGGTTAGGTGAAACATACTTTTATGGGATGGAAATTCTAAATGATGGTGGTAAAAAATCGGTTCAAAAAGCACCTAGGAATGGCATGTCAACTGGCGGAAAAATCTTAATCGCGGCCACAGGGGGCGTGGGCATCGGACTGTCCATTGTTTGTGCCTCTTTTGTGGCGCCTGCTTTCCGAAAGATTTGCCTGCCTTATGTACCGGCGACCACGGAGCAAATCCAGAACGTCCTTAGCTTCCTGCCCAAAAATGCCACCGGGAAGCTGCTGGACATTGGCTCAGGTGATGGTCGCATTGTGTTTGGTGAGTTGCAACCTTTCGCACAACATTTTGACGACACCAAAGTGAAGATCTCTTATGTAATGAATTTCAGCGGCGGCACAGCATACAAAGGGTCTGAAAACCGATGGCGTGGAGCTGAATCCCTGGCTGGTCTACTACTCTCGCTTGGCAGCGCTTCGTCATGGCGCAACGAGGCAGGCCAGCTTCTATCGCCGTGATCTGTGGAAGTTCAACATTAAAGATTACAATTTTGTGGTCATATTCGGTGTGGAGCAAATGATGAAGGACCTGGAGCACAAGCTGATAGCCGAGTGTCCGCACAATACGAAGATCATTGCGTGCCGGTTTAGGCTGCCCAACCTAGAGCCAGAGCGCACCATTGAGGATGGGGTGAACACTGTGTGGTTCTATGATCTGAACAACCAGACCCAAAGACAAGTGCTCGGCAACAGTTGAGGAATAAAGCGAGGAATGTATTATTAAATAGTGTAGTTTTATTGTTCTCCATGCTAAGAAAAACTATGCTTAAGATAAATGCTTGAGACAGAGAGAGGAGAGCGAGTTCTACGCACGGGAGCAGCGTATCTCACAGAGCGAACCATTCGGTTGGTCAGTAATACAAAATTGTACGAAAATACAAAAAGAGACCAAGGACGGGGGACGAGCTGTGGCGTGGCCAGCCGGAATACAGAATACATTAAGGAACAATGGGCGAGCACAATTGACACATTTACCACAGAGAAAAACGGCGAAATCCGCGAAACTGTTGATGCTAGAAACGACGTCCCAAGTAAATGCATTTTCTTCTCTCCTCGCGATAGACCTCAACGAAGCCGATTTTCGTATAGAAGCTCAGCTGTCCGGGATCCTGGTCGGGCACACAGACATGCACGCCAAAGCAACCGTTTGCGCGCAGTGCAGCCAGCAGGACAGTCAAAATGCGCTTGGTAATGCCGCTATCCCGATCCTCGGCCTCTTTTAGGGTGGCAGCAGTCAAAACGGCCGGAAAGGAGCCACTCACTTCGACGGGACACTCCTGCACCTCGTCGTAGCTGTTGTGAAACTGATCCATAAAATGAGCAATTAGCTTGTTGAGCTGAACGCTGGCATCGTCCACGTCCTCGTCCAGCGTGGGAATCGGGATTTTGGGATACTTTTCACGCAGCTCCGCCATCCAGCACATTTGCATGTTACGCCGAAAGACGGTGACATCCAAGGCTGCGCAAGCATAGCCCACAAGAGCACCATTCTCGTCGTACGCCACTATGCAGAGCTGTGGATTGAGCGTTATGTACGGGCCAACAATAGCGTCGGCCACAATATTGGCCACGGTCGCGGGCAGGGGATAGTCTATGTGGATGTGCTCGGCGCCCTCCAGCCCGCTGTGCCACTGCAAATAGGTGCGAGTGCAAATGTTGATCACGTCCAGCTCATCGGCATTGCGATACGGCCGAAGGAGATAATAGTTGGCCGTCGGTTGCTCCGGCAACTTGTAGACAAACAGATCATTGCCAGAATCCACGGGCATCAGGCGTTGCAGATCGGCAATCAGTCCTCCGCGAAAGACCCACGGTTCTTGGTCGCCCGACATGAAAGCCTCTTTCCAGCCCTTGCTGAACCCTTCGGGGCAAAAGATTTCTTAGATTTACATGAGGATCATGAGCAATGCTGACTGCACACTTACACGTATAGCTACCCTCCGTGTAGGAGGACATGTTCGGCGGGAACTGGCCCAAGGCCAGCCATTTAATGTAGCAGTTGAGCAGCGAGAGAGCACCAGAGATGTCCCACACATACGAGTACAGCTCATGGCAGATTTCCTTGTTCTGGCAGTTGGCAATTTTGATCAGCAGCTCCCCGACGCTGCCGCAAAGCACATCAAAGTTCTCGCAACGTTGCAGCCACTCGCTTACCTCCGGCTTGGGGATCTTGCTGCCGACGCAGCGCTCCTTCAGCATGACATTCGCATTGGTCTTCAGCCAGTGAAACTCTTCCAGCAGCTTGAGCGCACGGCTGCCATGCTCAAAGGGTAAATAAAAGAGATCACAGAGCAAACCCAGATCTTCCGTTGTGATCTTGGATGCCTCCATAGTCGTTCTGAAAGTAAACAGAATGAAATTAGTTGGTTATTTTGTGGCTAAAGCAGGCACATACTCATGATCATGTTCACGCATTTCTGTGTTCGATAGCGGGGATGAGGTTGTACTTTCCACGTGCATGCTCTGCAAGCAAAAGAAGAAAAGATTTACTTTACTTCGCTTCAAGCTTAAATATTTCTCTACTCACATGCACATCGTTGACAGACTCCATGAGCACATCATCGGTGACCAGCTTGATGATCTCCTCTTCTTTTGGTGAAACCTGGGAGGCTATGCTGCTGCTGCACTCCATGGGCTCATTGCCGCCGCCGCTAAGCGGACTCAGACTTGTATCATCCAACATTGTGTCCACGCTGAGGCTGGCCACAGGCTCCGTGTTCAACTCCAGCACCTGCTTCTCCTCTTCCAGAGTTGCGTCTAGCACCTGATCCTTTGTTTCGGTTTCCAGCTCTGCCGATGGATTTCCCCTGGATGCTATGGACTCGTAGATTTGATTGCCCAAATTCAATCCCACAGACTCAGCCTCAGCGCTCTTGGCCTCCATTATGGGCACGGGAACAATCGAGATTGGTATCTTTTTGGGCAGCTCAATGTTGCAAGCAGCTGTGGTCGGTATGGGATTAATGATGTCATCATTGGTGACCACTTTAGTGGGCGATACCAGGGAGTTCATCACCGGATTGGATATCGGAGTCATTGAGCTGCTGACGGTGCTGCAAACATCGGCCAATGCCTGCAGCTGGGTGGTGTTCACTTCGGGCACTGTCCGCGTGTTTGTCGATGTGGTGGTGGTGGTTGTCAGACTCATGCAGGTGTTGATCGATGGTATGATCGGTATAATTGGCATAACCATTTGAACTTGCGGCTGTGGCTTTGTTATGGGTCCCCAGGCCTCCTTCTCCACAAAGAACTCAGGCAGCCAGTCCGAAATGGCATTCCTAAAATGGGAATTTAATTACATAAAATTAACCAGAGGCACTGCGGTACTCACTTGAGTGCCACCCGTGGATGATATACGTTTTTAGAGAGGAACTCGGTGGGCATTTCATCCTCATTTTCAGTCTCCAGTTTGATATCTGAACTCAGCGAGCTGTTCACCTTGGAATCCATGCTGCATCGTGACCACGAGGCCAGCGAATGGATTGCAATGAAGTTGGCGTAGAACTCACAGTTCGGATTGGTCATGACGCCACGAAGATGGGGAATCAGCTCGGGGGAGCGACCCGTGTACGGACCGAGGAACACGCGCTTCTGGTCGTAGTCGTTGGCATGCAAGTTGTCCCAGATGCACGGCGGACGGCGCAGCACCTCCGTTATCTCCTGTATCGATTCAATGGATATCGTCTTCGAGATGACCTTATCTCCCGTCCAGAGGATGTCGATGTCAGTGTTGAGCTTTGACCCCAGGGTGTTTAAGTACTCCGATTCCTGTACCGTCGGCACGGCACGGGTGCCACAGTACTGCGTGGGGCAGAACAGAAACTTGGGGCTGCCCAAGTGGGTGAAAATCTCATTGGTAACCGAGACATGGGCATTGGCGAACGTCTGGAACACCTCCTTGTCCACCTTCGATAATTCCGACTCAATGTCGTCGAAGAGCAATGCATAAGCCTCGCAGCCGAACTGCGACACCTGATCCAGCTTGCGCTTTAGCGTTGCAATCTCCTTGGGACTGCTATAGGTCATGTCCAGGCCGGGCGAGAGAGCGTAGTAGAAGGCGATGCCGGCTTCCTTTGCTGCTGCAATCAGACCTGAACGAAGGGAAATTAGCGGAAAATCAGACAACACGAAGAAGCATCTGCTTACTCGATAGATGATCCGCCTCCTCGACCGTGTATAGCTCTCGCCAGTAAGCTCGGTGTTTGTAGTCGTCCTTGGGCGCGTACATGTATGAGTCCATGCCCATAAACTTGAGTTTGCGAAACAAGCCCTTGCGCTGCTCCGTTGTCCAGGGGCGGCCGTAGAAACCTTCAATCACGCCGCAAATAAAGTTCCGCTGCGTATCCTGCTGGGACGCAAGCTGTGGGGCGGCGCCGGGTTCCATTTTTCTCAGGATTTAAGACGGCGAAAACAATTGTTATTTATTTCGCGTTTTTGCAAACTAGTGTTGGAAACGGCTTAAAGTGCTTAGAAAAATGAGGAATTCGGTATTTTTTGGATTTTATGATTGGGTATATGTCATGCGGTATATTTGATCGTCAAATCCGCGGTCATACTGGTGTTTTGTTTTGTTTATTTTATTTAGTTTTTATTGTAATATGCAGCCTTTTATCGTTATACGCACTTACCGGGAAGATGATGAGCTCAAGTGTCAGGATCTGGTGCGGGACTACATAATGTCGTTCTACACGAAATCCTTCTTTGCCCTGATGTTTCGAGAGGTAACATTCGAATACCAATTCCATCTCCGAATTGATTCGGTTGCCTGTTCATATGCTGGGCTCTAGCTACGTGTCCTATCCCGTATTCATCATTCCACCAAATGTTTGTTATGTCTGGCCATCCAGATTACACTTCAATTCATAGTCATCACATGGGCGATATTCTTCATATTTCTGGGCGTGCCGCTGCTCTTCTGCACACTGTCGGTGCCCGGATGCATCGTTTGTCTATTCGTCAGCACGTACTTCGCCTTCTACGCCAAGGCAATGGAGCTCATGAAGGTTAGTGGCCTCGAATAGCTTATAGATCCTTAAACCTTAGCTCTTTCCTTCACTTAAGGTGAAACCCTCTCAGTCCCTGGTGGCAGAGTGCTATGAGCCATTCATATTTCGCTGTTCCCCCAAGGAGGCCAGCTATGACATCTTCATGGAGAACTGCCCATACGATGAGGCACACACAAGGAAATTCCGACGTCGAATTGTGGCCACCATAAGTGTCAAAAACCATCATGCTGTGTACAACGCGGCTTGGATCTGTCGCTTTGCCATTGCCCCAGATTATCCCTATCAAAAGATAATGGAACCCATGGTCAATCTTGTGTCAAAGAACTGCGCCAACGGTGGCTATGGCTCGCTGGAGTGCACCATATCCGAGTGGCAGGAGAATGAGCGTGACTTCTATGACGAATACGGCTTTGTCACTCGTCAAATTTACCACAAAAAGATCATTGGCAGCAGTCTGTCGGTGATGAAGACACAATTAACGTTTCGCCTACACACCGATGACGGCATCCAAAAGCGAAATTAGTTCGATGCGAGTGCAATATATAGAGAATCTCGTTAAACTGTGAACTCTGAGCTGATTACTTAGACATTACTTCTGTTGACTTCGCCAAAAGTGTTGAAACTCCTCCCCACCACCCGCTTCCAAGAGGTTGTAATATTTGTAAACATACAAACAAAAAACATAGATAATAGCGTGTACATTGCTTTTGTCCTGTGTTTTTATTATCTCTGGTTTATTCTTTGATTCTATTTAAATAAATAAATAAAATATTTAGTAATAAATAAAATTTGCATAATGGTTTTAGCATTTATTTAGATGCCATGCCATGCCGCACATGCAACAATTGGCTTGTCTCTGGCTCTGGCTCTGTTCTTGTAGCGCCTTTTTGCTGTTGTGTAAACTCTGCTGAAGGTACATTTATTTCTTTCTTTGATGCTTTACCGAGTTTTGAAGTAAAATATATAATTTAGCAAAACGAATTCAATTAATATGCAGCTGCATTGCGTATAAAAAGCATGCAATGTTTGAACTAATTTGAAATCTGTATACATTTCGTATTTATTTGGGATTTTCCTTAGTGTTTGTTTCATTTCAAGTTACAATCTTCTCTCTTTTGTGGGCGCAACTAATTCTTAAAAAAATAAACTGGAGCTAACCCAGGTCGTTCCACGCCGCTCCGCACTGTAACTATGTGTTTAAATTTAGTTTTAGTTTTAGCTTCACTTGCATCAACTATTTAAAGCGTGTTTCAAAACTGGCTGTGAAATTAGCATAGTTTCCCATTATGTTTATCTGTTTCTTCCTTTCGTTTAAGGTAAAATGTATTATTTTGGTTTCGTCGCAAGCAGCCTCCACTAGAGTAGTTGCAGATCCTGCCCTGTCTAAGCGTTCGCTTAGAAAAGCTTCACCCGACGCTTCAGCTCGTTGCGCCTCCACTGTGGCAGGCGATAGAACTCGGATCGGGCGCACTGCAAAATGTGCTCAAACTCAATGTCTGACAAATGACGCTGCGGAAGATAAACAAATCGAGGGATTAGCTAGCAATCGAGGCTGTAAGAATTACGCTGAACTTTACCTCTAGATTACAGCGATCAACGTCCGAGGGCAGACGATAGTTTGTGATAAGCAGTAGATGGTAAGGATAGATCTTGGCTGGCTCATGCACCAACATCGAGTGTGCCATATTGGGCAGACTTCGTCGAATGAGTCCCGCCTGCGGATAGTGATACGAAAGTGCGCCAGAATATGTGCTCGAGGCGGGCAAATCGCCGCCCATTAAGGCGCGTCTATCTCCCTCGGTAATCGAATCCACAGAAGCTGTAAAAAAATAAATCATTAGCGGGTATGTGGGATATCCTTATTTATGATTAAAACTTACCTTCCGATTTGCCACAGCTCAGATCTGTGCTATGCGTTTTGTCGCCCAGTCCTCCATAAGAGAAGTCCTGATTAAAATTAAAAATAATACAAAATTAATCTCTGTTTACTTATCTTTTAAAGATTCATGCAAAAACAGATAGAAACCCATAAACAAGGTGCAAGGCGAAATAACTAAAACTTATTAATAAACATAATGCCGATCATACGCATACACCAAAAATACACAAAAATAAATTAATATAAATTAAAAATTAAATTTAAACATTAGTTACGTTACAGCATTACAACAAAAGCAATCTTACAGTGGCACCATGCATCGTGGCGGCGGCAGATGTTGTGGAACTGAATGTGTGAGATCGTGGGGCCAGGCCGTATCCAGGTTTGGGTACATGACGCAGGGCGCTCACCACTGAGCAGAGTACGAGTAGCAGTTAGTGTGTGGCATGTGATTAGTGTTTGATGAGTGGGTTTATGTTTTGGGAGGCAAGGCAACAAATATGCATACAAACACAGAGATTTTTGGATAGCATAGAATATTAGGTTTTAGACACACAAGGAAGCAGCAGACCAACCAACCAGTTGAGTTTTAAATCAAAGTATTTTTGTTAATTAATGCCATCCATGGAGGGGCAGCAGCCGAGAGCAGCAAGGATGAGAAAGACACAAACGAATGCAGTCAGGGCAGAGTTAAGTTGAAATGTTAAGAGTTAGGGGTTATTAGAGTGATTCCATTGCCAAATACGTGTACAACTTTATATATTAGAGACTACAGCACAGCACTAATAAGAACGGAGGACAATCCAGCACCGGAGAGTTGAACTAGCAACATGGGGCAGCACTTACTGAGCTGTAGCCGTTGCGTATATAGGGCAGAGTAGTCGTTTTGAATCCGTATCCGGGCTTTGGTGGCGATCGATAGGAATGTATGGCTATAAACGTAATTGGCTATATATAGTAACGAAATCGAATCACACCCTAACAGAGGAGTACGAGACTAGAATACAATGCGCTAAGGCTAAACGATTTACCATTGTAACTGGGCGCATTTCCCAGCGATTTGCCCAGCGAGCCGCGATAGCTGGTGGACCGATCAAACATTTCGTCCTCATAGAAGGGCTTCTGTGCGTCCAGATGTCGTGATGGTGATGCTCCAATAGGCGATTCATATCTGCAATGGATTCAAAATGTAAAACAACAGCCAACGAAACCAAACCCAAAGACCTACCTCAACTTGTAGATCGGCTCCTTTGAGGCTGAAGGCGTGCGCGAGGCATTGCGTGGATCAAGATTGTTTTGCTTCCACTTTCGGTACTTGGCGTGCTCCTTCAGATCCTTGGCAATAACCGAGCCAATGCCAGAGTTGAGCTTTTCCAGCTGCTCGGCCTCGCGTTGAAGGCGTCTGGAAATGATTTTTTCTGTCTTAAAATTTGATTTTTTTTTATATTTGTTCTCCACTCACCTTTGCTCCTCGCCATTTTTGGCATTGCCATTCGTTTGCTTGCCATTTTGGACATTCTCATCCTCATCATCCGAGACGGGCACGCCCTTGTATGTGTCGCTATAGCGTCGCCTGCGCTCCGGATCAGTGTAGGGATAGGGCGGTGCTGGGAAGTCATCCCTTTCGATTTTTGGCTGCTCGCCCGGCAACGGCTTCTTGGCATCCGGATAGTGGGACAGCTCAATGGGTTCTTCGTTGTTCATGCCCGGACTCTTGGGACGTGGCGTTTCCGAACGTATGGCATCCACCAGCACCTTCATGGCACTGCGCGTGCGCGAATGGGGACGCGAGGGCGGACGACTGCCGGCCACAGAGCCCGCATTGCTGGTCGTCGCATATGATGCTGGCCTGTGAAAGTGCGGCGAGAGTGGCGTCTTGTCATAGGGCTCGATCGGCTTGCGCAGATAATGCGGCGCATCAGTCAGATAGCTGTAGGTATAAATGCGCGATATATCCTCACCGATAGGTCGGCCATACTCGCGGAGTATCAGGCCCGGGCTGACCGTTCGATAATGCTGAAAAATGTACGCAAAGATTAGCCAACGAGTTGAGTGCTCTTAATGGAGGAAGTAACATGCAAAGTGCAGTGGATTTTGATTGTAGATTTTTAGTATTCAAAATTAAAAAAAAAAGAAGAGAAATCATAAAAATCATAAAACAAACCTTGCGGCTAGAGGAATAAAGTGAACCGTTTATACTCGGAGTTCTGGAGCGGATGTACTGAAAACGAACAGAAATCAAAAAACGCAAAATGCAGCAAAAGAAAATTATAAAATAAAAAAAAGTAATTGCAGTGTGTGTGAGAGGGTGTGTGTGGTGTGCGTTGCTTTTTAATGTGCAGAGCATTCAAATTAGTAGCAAGAACGGCAGCCGCTGTACCGTGAATCTGATGCCAAGTTATTGGACGATTGGATCTGCATTTACATACCATTTCGCTCAGTGCACTGGAACTCATGCGATCACATTCGGTGTCTGTAAAGTTGCCATTGGAGGCGCCGCCAACCACCGAAGTGTTGCCGCCGCCGCCGTTTAGTATTATGCCCGATTCGGAGGGACCGGGGCCGCAGCGTGGATGCCAAATGGCGCTGCCCTGCAGGTACATTTCCTCACCGTCGCCAAACGGATCGCCGCACTTGGTGCAGCGTGCGCACGTTGGATGGAAGTGATGGTTGTCGCCGGCCTGCAGCACCTTGCCGCTGATGAAGCGGTTGCAGTAGGCGCACTTGACGCCGAAACCCTTCTGGTAGCACTTCTCGCAGTACGGCACCGCATCCTTGCCCATGTACTCGCCGTTGAGCACCACCTGGCAAGCCTTGCAGCGGAAACAGGAGACATGCCACTGCCTGTCGAGAGCGACCAGTGCCTGACCCTCCTTCAGCAGCTCCCCACACCCTGCACAGTCGTTGGGATCGTAGTCCTCCTTCAGGTGCGCCTTGTGCGAGATAACCCCTCCAGTCAGCTGCTGGTGAGCTGTGGCCCGCGTGGGACTCTCCGCTGGCGGTGCTGGCGACGATACAGACGTTTGTCGTGACGGCGAAACAGGTGCACCGCCACCAACACCACCACCACCGCCCCCACCCGACACACAATGTTCGCAGAGCACTTCCTTTCCAGTGTTGGTCACCTTACTGCCGGACTTGAATGGCTGCTGGCACTTGGAGCACGTGAAGCACTTCTGATGGTAGGTCTTGCCCATGGTGCTGACCACCTCACCCTCCACATACTGCTGACACGTGGCACACTTGGTGCCGTACAGCCGCTGGTAGTCCGGTATGCAGTAATAGGCGCTGTCTTTTGTAAAGAAACCGCCAGTGGCCAGGGACTTCTTGCACTGACAGCACTGGAAGCAGGCCTTGTGGAAGTGATTGTCGGCCACGCGCAGCACCTCGCCGGAGCATTTTTTCGTGCATTTTGCACAGTAAATTTTTTGTTTACCTGCAAAGAGAAAGAAAGACCATCGATTAGTGATTGTTTTACTGCAGATAGATTAGAGTTTGGTTCGGTTCTATTTTAATACTTAGACGCTACCAACCGTAGCCGCACAGATTACGTATTCCTAGCCGCAAAGCAGTGCTGCTGCTGATGTCATATGCATGTGATGCGATAATGCCCCAACCTTGCCCCGTTTGCTCGGGCATAGCCGCTGGCCCGGCAGGCCCGTACGAAAGCCCCGTTTGAATGATATACTGGTATATGCGTATGTGTATGTTCATTGTGGTTTTTGTTTTTGCTTGGATATGTACATGAAACAGTTATGTATGAAACATTTTCCGTATCCCTTTTAGACTTTATTTCTACTGACAGTCTAGGCACACTCTTTGATACTCGGCACAGATACATAGATAACGTTCTAAAGACGGTATGAGTCATGCGCAAGGCACACAATTAATCTTATCATTGATAAGGCCAAGGGCGGTATACAAACATACACGGCACACACTGTATATTATATATGTATATTTTCACTGTTCATTAATGTACACACAAGTGTAGTACACTTGTACACTCTAGGCAAGTGGAACAGGTTAAATAGATCTGACATCTACATATAATACGTATCTGAAAAGTTGTCATTCGACAGTCCACTCCACCTCTTGTGTAGATATATTTTCAGAACAGCAAATACAACAATTTTAAATACTTTTTAAAATCGATTCGAAATGTGAGCTGATCCTTAAGAGTTCATTTAGATTATTTGTAAAAGTAAACAGAGATAAACTTTAGTTCTTATCAACTGTTTGATCAATGACTGGGGCCAAGTTTTTTTTGTTGCTGTCCATCTATCAAAGAGCATTGCGTAAGAGGCAGAGAATGTCCAAATAATCATATTTGTGTGTGTCCATAATATAATTATGTTTTATGTTTTACATGCTTCCTCTCGCACGTAATTTCTGTTATGTATCCCCCCCCATTCGCTTTTACAACAGATCGTTGGAAATGTTGGAGGGAAGAGACGCAAAGCCATGACGGCATCACACAAAACGTAACGAAACAATTTGTTGGCCATGACTGATGATGTTGAATGTTGATCTACCAGTCGGCCGGTTTCTTGTCGGTGCCAGTCGGTGGGGCCCCTGTGCGCGGTTGATTTAATAGTAATTCCAACAGATCTAAAACCAGCCAGTTGCAACCGTTCAAAGAGAAAACCGTGTAAAGAGAACGGTTCTCTCTCCCTCTTTCTCTTTGTTGATGTGTTTCTTCTCCTCTTTTGTCTGCGCTTTGCGAGTTTTTCGGTATAAATCGATAAGAATGCTCCCCACTCCCCTTCTTTCCCCTTGTGTGTGGAAAGAAAGACCAACAACTAAACCGTTAGCTTTTATAATTATTATGACGTTTATGGTTCGTTATCGCATACAAAAAATTCTTGTACAGTTTTGTTTTTCTTTTAACTTTTAAATTTCTTGGTATCCACAACTTTAAACCAAAAATAAAACCATAAATGAATTCCTAAATGGGAGGTTTTAACTTTAAAGATGGTAATAGAACTAGCCGCAGCGTTTAGAAGCTTATCTTTGTTTTTTATTTATAGAAACGCTTTTTATAGAGAAAATCTTACTCGAAGAAATAACTTGAAAGTTTGGTCTTTTGAGGAGAGCATTTTGACATGAAAAAATGTTTGCTTGACCGGATTGAACCTTAATTAGATAGATCTAACAGCCTAAAGTTTACCTGCGATCCCATGTTGCTACCTGAGGAAAGTACAAGTACAATGAACTTTAATACAACAAATACCAAGGGAAAAGAGTCCTTCCTGGGTGTGTGCTTTGAAGGTAGTAGTAAAATCAATAATAAGTCGTTGACATTAAAAAAGCACCAACCAAACCCATACATAAAAATGTATGTATGATCCATATCTGTACATCATTGATGATAAAAGTAAATACAAGTCTGTATATTATTTGAGTTCGATGACGCAAACAGTGAGTGAGAGAGAGTGTGATAGTGTGTAAAGTCGCTCAGCGAATTGTCCAATTAGAATGTCCGAACATCTGATAATACGGTTATTTTGTGTACAATTGGTTTTTTACGGTGACTGGTGCTTTCGTCACTAGCTTGGACTTCCGTTCAAAGTAATATATGTATGTATTAAATACTTGCACTAGTATGCGTATTTGTGTTTGTTTAAATTTTAGTTTGTGTACGTGTTTCGTTTCAATTAATTTCATTTATGTATGGTTGTTATCTGTCAGTTTATTATGCAATCTCACACACAGTGGAATTTGCATATTGATTTTGGCATTTTGTTTATTGGGTTTTCAGTGTTTTCCGCTTGCATTAGCAGATCCATGATAATTAAAACCCAACTCTAAACAATTCCAATGTGAAAATTACATTTTCATGCAACAGTCAGACAGATCTAGAGAGCAAGCGAGAGAGAGTCGCACCGAGTTGCCGCCTAGTTAGTATAATAAAAGTTTGAGCGCACATTTTCATTTCATTTTTATTGTAATTACGGAGAGGATAGGAGAGCGATGTTTGTTGGTAGTGAGTGAGTGCCTAGTGGCCCGATGATGTCATCTGCGTCTGTAGCGTAGCGCCGCCATCGACCGCCAGCGACAACACGGAGCTGCTGCTGCTGCTTTTTTTATTATTATTTTGGAGTTGTGGCAGAGCAGCCCGGAGACCAGGCATACCCGAGCATGTGCCTCAAAAACTGGTTGGTGGAGAGGCACTCTCGCATTTGAAATGTGTGCAAACAAAAAATCAAACCGAAAACCCGTCCAGCAAACAAGAGCCAGAGCAGAGCAGCAGCCAGGGGGCAAGTCCAAGGTTAAAGTCGCGCCTCGCCTGCATGTAGAACGCTCATTTGAAGCAAACACAGACCCCAGACCAGAACAGACCCCCCATGCGATTCGATTATATACAACAAAGTTGTACACAGTTCAAAGTGTCAAAAGGTCAGTCAGCGAATATTTTAATTAAATTTAGCCGCGCCCCAAAATTCTAGAACATCCCTAACCTTAAACAGAACGAACAACCCGAAACCCTTCACGGGTACACAGCACTGTCATGGTCATGTCAGTCCAGCACAATGCGCAACGCACCGAACAAGTTCGTCGTCAAATCCATGACAGTCTATGTTCCCGGGATAATGTCGAGGACAATGCAGGTCAAGGCAGTTTGCGGAAACAGGTGAAGCCTGAAGGGGGGGGATTAGAGTCGAGTCATGTCGGCACAACAATACACACCACCACACACCACAACTGAAAAAGAGCGTGTTTTTAGCCAAACAATAAATAATCCCCAGAGCGAAAGCAAACATCTCTCTCATGCATTCCATGCCCACACATTCGCACACCCACGAATGGTTCTGTGGAGAAGAGCAACAACATAATATATACAAATACACAGATCCCATACATGTGCTTGCACGTACGTGTGTATATTTTATGTGTTCTCCGCATTACTCATCAACTTTATATTGCTTTGCAAAGTGTTATTTTATGCTGTGCTACCTGACGACGCACCGCAATGTGGTTTCTATAGCTACTACATAGTACATAAGGTTGCTTCAAAGATCATTCGAAGTGATTCCTGTATGCTTATTAGACGAAAAGTGAAAAGAGCCGCCTCCGTCTGATCGGCAAGAGCACACACGAACCCACACACACACACGCAAACGGACTCCGATGACGCTGCAGTCACAAAAATAGCATTCAATTGGGTGAGCGAAAGGGGGAGGCTGAAAGAGTTGCCGTGCCTGAAGACGACAACACAAGAGAAGATGCCACTTTCTATGCAAGTGCTCTGACCTATATAACCCCGCCTGGGAAATGGGAAATGAAATGAAATGCAGGCGAATGCACCACAGCATACCGCACCGCACTGCAGCATACAACTCGAACAAGCTCTCGTGCACGAACAAATCAACGGATAAATAAATGAGAAAGATCCACTAAATGAATAAGAGGGGGCCGCACGGAGGCGGCGGCGGTGAGGCAACTTGTTTGGTTTGCCCCTTTCGTTTTCATTCGAGCACCAGCTAAAAAGGAAACCCCATGCAAGTCAATGTGCGCGCCTGTCATGACTTCATTTTGAGTAGTTGCTGCTGTCTTTATGGCTATTGTTGAGCCTTTTGGGTGGAGAGCGACGAACGGCGCTGCACATTATGGGGTCCCAGTCCCATCACCCCAATCCCCTTCGATGTGACTCGAAGAGACTCCTCGAAGCGAAGTCCAACTCAATTAGGCATTTTAGGCACGCATACAACTACAAGTGTCTCCCATCCAGCCCCATAGCCAACGGCAGCCACAGCACATGAACTCAATTAGGGCCAGGCCGGAGGGACGAGACGAACGGATTGAAGAGTAATTAATCAAAGCATGGGAGAGACAGCGGAACAAAGAACCAACGGTATATAGTAGGGTTCGCTCATGCACTGAAAGCCATAGAAAAAGCGTATTCAGCGCCAGATTCAACGGTAGATTTACAGGCATGGTGTGCTATGACGGCTCCCACGGGCGGACACAATAACGGTATCGTGTGTAATTGCAGTTGCATGCACAAGCACGTTGAGGTTTATTCGGTCAGGTTTTTTCAGAATCGCGTTTCGTTCTCCTTCGGTTCTTCCTCCCTCCCATCTCCGATATCACACGTCGATTTGGGGCGCAGCAGTCGATGGCCGACGACGAAGCGACGGTGCGACAAACGAAACTTGTTCTTACAACAACTAATATATGACGTCACCGCAGTCGCAGCTGAGAAATAAAATAGGGAGTGGACGTGGACGAGACCACACCGTGCCAATCACATGTGAACATGTGTGTGAGATAGAGAGAGAGAGAGAGAGCGGCCCAAAGATCCCCACACCTAATTTCGTACGGATTCGCAGCTGTCCAATATTGATTAACGGTATTCGCAGGCTACGTAGTTTTGTTTCCTTTTCTTGTAACCATTCACGGATACCTTGCTATAGTCTTCTTAATACCGATAATGCCATCAGCTTCTATCTGAGAAGCAGCAAGACCCACGGCCCACCACCACCCTCTTCCGATGGCTTTGCGCAGACACACACAAATAACCAAAGGGAGAGATAGAGAGAGAGAGGGACATTATGGCCAGATAACTTACCCATAGCGAGATACAGATACTGCTATGCTCTTCGCACTTGCGCCTGCAAAATGGGGGAGGGAAAGAAACACGCACACACACACACACACTGACGACACGCACGGGGAAAGCACAACTACACGCGCACAGGTCACCACTACTTCCTCTTCACTTCACTAACAAAATTTTTCTTCTGCTTAGATTTTTTCTATTTGTATCTTTAGCCGTATGCATTCGCAATATCTACGCAGCGGGGCAGAGTATGCGTGTGTGGGTGTGGTGTAGTGTGCTCGACGCGAACTTCCAACTCGTTTCGTATTCGGATGCGTGTATTGCTCTTTACATTCACAAATGCCTTTTGCCGACAAAGATCACAGTGAAAAATTGTGGTTTAATAAGCTTTTCATGCGACACAATTTCAAACGGAGCCAGAAAAAAACCGCACCAGCAAAGCACCGACGGCAGCAAACGAGTGTATCTCACAGATACGAGCCGCCTCGGTTTAAAGATACTTTCAATCGAATACACTCGATTGAAAACATATCGATGGTCGAATAGCCGCGAATGGCCCACTAAAATATACCGAAATATACCCTCTCATTTTTAAAATATATACAGGTAACATTCCGATGAAAATCATATTCATTAACTATTGAATATAGCTAACAAGCGAGAAGCGCAAGGCTTAGTTTGATACGAGCAATCTCGGCTAAAAGATACTTTCTATCGAATACACTCGATTGAAAAACTTATCGATGGTAATAGTCGAATAGCCAAAATATACTGAAATATACCCTTTAATTTTAAAATATAAATTTAAACCAAACGGAAAACAGAATCAAATACCTCGTAACCCATCTACCGGATTTGCGTACCTCGTTACGATCGGATCATTATTGTTGGGGGGCTTTCACATATACTCAAAATGTATTTAGACCTTTTATGGACACGGTTCACTGACCATTCCCATCAACCTGATCACATTCTTTTAAACTTTCCTTTCCTTTTATTGATCGAAAAGGCATTTCGTATGGTCTAGCCTACCAGCTCCCGGGAAGAGTGGATTTCATGCTAAGACCGTAGAAAGTGGAGAACGTTCCCCATCGTTATTGTGTGTTTCCGTTTGAATGTTTACTTAAAACTTTTATTTAAATATGTGTTTTTGTTTTTCATGCGCTTTGCGTGTACATTTGCACAATAAGCTTTCTTAGAAGTTCTTAGTTAACATTACTAACAAATAATTAAATTAATCAATGAATTAATTAATTCATAATAATTCCAAGTGTTTTAAAAACTATCAATAAACTTCATATTCACCCCGCATTGTTAAAATTTAATAGTACATCGAGATTTCGAATAAGTTACAATATACACACACATACGCGTATATATGTGTATGTTATTTACTGCAAACATTTGCATACATCTTCTTTACTTTCAGTTTACTCCCGGTCGGCCCTGCACTAGATTGCACCCAATGGATTGTTTCATTTCAGATATTGTATAATTGTGTGTAATTTGATCTACCAGTGTGTGTGTGTATAGCTTGAATTTTGTTTACTATTTGATGGTCTTATCGTCGCGTCGACCCAATGAATGTGAATAAATTTGACTAAAATCAACGTTTTGTTGAATTGGGAACGGATATGATATACCTCTACCGACAATGAATGTGTCTTATCCGTTTAGTTTTTTGTTTCTTTCAAATTAGTTACAACTACAAATTTCAACTGTATGCGTATGCGTGTACGTATTTTCTATAGTTTCCATTAGCTAACTCCAACTGCAAGTGGGTGTAGGATCTGCACTCCATATTATCATCTCTGATACGATACCGACATGGTAAAAGTAACAGTAAGAGACGTAATTATATATATATATATATCTATATATGCGGTGTGCAATATCTATTCTTCATCCGAGTCTCCCTCGCTCGAGTAATGTGTAATTTGGGGTCGACGAACAAACGGCGCAGTTATCACTTGTCTAAGGGCGAGCATTGATTACATCAGCCAACAATCAATCAAGCCATACTTACGCAATACGTCTGTAATGATTCAGCCACTCCTCCAGCATTTGTGCCACCAGGAGGGGACGTTTGCCCAGTTTCTGTTGCGCCACAAGCAGACCGCCATCAGTTACGCAAACATCCAGCCATTGCCGCATCATCGACTCCTCATTGCCCACCTGCCCCAAAGAGATTATAATGAATCAGTTTTACGAGACGCATGTTTTATAGCTCTCACCTCTGACTGTGTGAGAAAATGAATGGGCAAGAGCTTGAGCTCGCAGTCCATCAGTGGCAGGTAGGTGACATCCTCGACATCGTCCCGTCGACCATCGATGCGAGTGAATGGTTCCATGGGCACCAAAGCGCTAAAATGACCCCGGGTATAGCCCAGGGCAATGGGTGATTTGGTGCAAAAGTTTTGATCCCAGAACAAAGGCAAATAGACACCTGGAATGCAATTAAAATAAGAAAAAATTCCTTATTTATATTTGATTTTGTGCCCACCTTCGAAACGCGCATATCCAATGTCTTCGCCGCGAAAGCTCTTTACGTACTTAACGCCATAAACAATAATTGGACGTCTAAGGATGTGCGCCAGCGCAAAAATGTGCAACTGCTCGAGAGATGAGCCTGGTTGGCTGGCCAGCGATAGCAGTGTGCTCCAATCATCCTCCCACTGTGATTCCTCCAGAGTAAAGTGCAGCATGGATGCCTGCAACATTTCGTACTCCTTCCAGCGCGTAAAGAACCTAAAAACAGACACGCTCAAGTCCTGATGCTGCACTCACTTTCACTTCACTTACACATGTCCACACTGATGCAGTGTGTCGGCCAGGGTACGTCTGAGGATATTGTCACGATCGAAGACTCCCCATGTGGCCTGCATTGCCGAGTCCAAGAGACAATCGCCGGCACTGCGGTTCCACAAAACAAACATTCGAGAGCTGAGACGTGCCGTTATCTCCAGCGACCAGTTGAGTGCCGGCGGCGGCGTCTCCAGCTGCTTCTGGGCATCTCTATCCAGCAGCTCATCGTACAGCTGCTCCTGTATGGGAATGGGCAGTTCCTCAATCTCGGCGGGTAGGGCAAAGGTGGCATGTTTTTGCACATAGTGGCAGGGCAGGCCAGACTTGCGCAATCGAAGCGTATTGGCAAAGTGACGTCGAATATCCGCAGCCAGATCCGGCGCCACATAGGAGGGCACACGCTTTATGCCCGGCCCCGAACCAGAGATCTGAGCCAGCAGCATCGGTAGCATTTCCTCGCGATGGAAACGAATGGCCAGATGGATGAGCGTGTGACCCACGTCAAAGGCCGAGTTGCGATTCAATGCGGCAATCTCGTTGCTGGTCAGTGAGCGGGCCGGATTGCCGCCACACGATAGATACGCTTCCACAGCGCTGTAGTTATTCTCGACGACGCCCAAGCAGGCATTCAGCCATTGCCAGTCCACTTGTCGCCTGATCTGCCGCTGACGCCGTTCCTGTCGCTCTTGTACCGTATCACAGTTGTTGATGGTTTCCGAGGAACCTGAAAGAACATTCATGGAGTGGATTCCTAAGAAATATTGTTTATGCCTTACCCAGTTGGTAGATGTGCTTTTTATTGAATGAGTTATTGACGCTGACGGTGTCCACGTTCTGCTGCAACTGTTGCTGATGTTCCCCCTGGTTGGTCTGGCTGGAGGAGGCATGCAAGTCGTTTTGTGATCCGCTGATCTCACGCTCGCGTGTCTTGCCGCACATGGAACATTTGATGCTCCTGGGCCAGTTTTCATAAGTGCACGACTGCAAGAGGATTGTTACACATCAGTTGGATTTTATATAGATGCAAAGGTTTAGGGCCAACTCACATTACACGCCCATTTGGCCACATAGCAATGCTTCGGCTGCAGCGGTACTGCAACAGAGGAGTCCCGATGTTGCTGCTGCTGCTGCTGTGGTTGTTGTTGTTGTTGATTGGCAGGCCTTTTATTCGGCGACTGGTTGTGTGATGCATTGGCGAGATTGTTCAGATACGTGGCATCGTCAATGGTTGGACTGGGACTGAGACTGAGTCGATTCGAGGCAGTGGCTCCTCTTAACTGCTGCTGCTGCTTTTGTTGTGTTCTAGCAGCCGTGTCTATGGTGGAGACGAGTTCCGTATCCGAGCCGCTGATGCGCAGTGCATGCAATGCTTCTCCAGCTCGATCCATGCCATCGGCATCCGCCTCATTGTCATTATCATTGCAGCATTCAATGGCTTCGCCGCCGCGCTTGGTGCAGCACTGGACACAGCGCACACTACGCGGCCAATTGAGATAGGTGCACACCTTGCATTCCCACTTTTCGCTGTCGGCCACATTGCTCTGACGTACCTGGGGGGGCTGCGACTGAAGCGTGTAGCAGGTGGACGTCGGTGTGGGTGTTGGCTCGACGGCAGCCAGCCCAGAAGCTGACTCCTCTGGAATAGAGCTGGTCTCCTGCGCTGGACTCAGCCTACAAGGGAGAGTGTGTGTGTGTGTGTGTGTGTGTTAATGACAGAAGTGGCTCAAGGTAGGGGTGGTGTCAAGGCCATACCGAAAGATATCCTCGCTCAGGAGCGCCTTCGATGCCTGGCACATTGTGCATTTTAGTGAGGATGGATAATTCTCGTAGGTGCAGATTTCACATTTCCATTTTTGTGCCTCGTCTTTGGTATCGCACATTGTTTTGTGCGCGAAAACAGCCACAGCCACAGCGACGCAGCAGTTGCTCCGGACAATTGTGTGCTTGGTACGCGCTCCCGTTCCCCCTCCCGTTTCCCTTCACCTTGATCCGTGGCAATCGTTCTTGTTTCGGGGTAGAGCGGAGAGAGAGACAAAAAGAGACAATTAAATAAATTCACTTGTTTAATAAGGTCAAACAATGCAAATGCTACTATATGTCCTTGACCCTGAGACATATTTCGCGGATACATAGGATATGTACATTTATCTGTACATATTCATTCGTATGCATTTTGTTGGCCCGAGATGTTTTGATTTCTCTCTTACTGTCGTCACAGATAGCCTTCAGGGGCCTGGGAATGGATGGGTATGCTTGCAATTATTTGTTGCCGTTTGTATGTACTCGGTACATCCATGTACATACATATGTACATACATATGTATGTATGTATGTTTGACAGTGCACGGGTATGGTAGGTCGCGAGGGGCCTGGGGTGCACTGTTTTCCGCGCTACTTTCTGATTGGATTCATTATTCGTGTCGTATCAGTACCTGGCGCAAACGTAAGCAAGGAAGGAAAGGTCTTATGCATCCATCCAAGGTATCAACTTCTGCACTGCAATTCGGAATTAACTTTGTGAGTGAGTTGACGAAAACGAAAACTGTTGTCAGGCCACGAACAATGCAATGCACCGCCGTTAGCCCGCTCCCGTTATACCGTGAATATATTGACTCAATATTGGCAGAAGCGCGCGGGGCAAGTGTAATTGTGGGTGGGGGAATTACACTTACAATTACAAAACAAAGATGAAAAAACTTTCACTCGATTTTGAGGGGGCCAAAATATGAATTTGCTTGACATACACAATAACACACCACGCACACACTGTCCTGTCGATTTTTGTCCGATGGACAGGTGCTGCAAGCCGTTGTACAAGGAACTTGGAATTTGGATTATTTGGAAATTTGCTAATTATTTATTTCTTTATTTATCGTCACATTGCGAGGGCTGGTGTGGATTTGAATCATCTGTTCAGCTATCGATACTAGCGCTGAAGTCTATCGATGGTCATCGCATCCCTGGTTTACAGGGTTGTCGTCGCATAGTTATTAGCGTGGGAGTTTTACAGGGTGACCTTTTACGGTGTATTATATAATAGTTTATTACTTTTCAGGATATTTTAACCATGATATATATTTAGTTTATTACTTTTCGGGATATTGTAACCATGATGTATATTTACGGTATATCAGCATACAATGGTAAATTAAGTCATTTTGTACATATCGTTTAGTTTGAATATCATTTTGAAATCAATCTAATAAATAAAGGTCATGAAACCTATGCAATTTGATGGAGAATTGATTGGGGAATCGGATAAAACTATAATTTTAGCTTTGAGAATTTTAATTAGCTAGTAATATTAAATAGAACCTCAAAATCTAGAAAAGCGATTTAAGATGTATGGTATATTTATGGTATTTTTGCGGTATATTTGATCGATAATTTCGTCACATAGTTATTAGCGCGGGAACTGTACACGGTATAAACAAATAAATCTAAATAAATGTTTAAAACGTGGAATAATCAATGCATGTTGGACCCCAAGAGGTAGCAGGAAGAACCCGCGAAGTCGCGCTTAATCAAAACTCCTATCGGTAGATATATACGGCACAATGGCCACGACGCCAACAACAATGCCTGGCATTCTAAGATGCGTAGTTAAAGTGAAACGCATTAAGCCCAACGAAAGTGTAATTTCAAAGGGAAAGGAGTCAATCCCCAAACTAAAGGGGGGTAACATTCCATCGATTGACGCTACAGCATGCGACACGAGTGTCTTTCAACCATGTCGCAACTCCACGATGTGCGTGGCCCAAACCCCCAAGGCGCAAATGATGAACGTCACGGCCGCCAATTTAACAAGTAAGTTTTTTGGTGCGTTATCATTTGTACAACAAGTGATCATTCTTAATGTTTTTGCAGGCGCAACTATAACACCACTTCGCATACGCCTCAAGCGATTGCGTCTGCCCAAGCCCAAGCCAGTGGAGACGGCGACAGCGACAACAGTGCAGCCGGCAGCTACATCACCAGTTCAAGTGAACAGAAGCCCCTTGACTAAGCCGGCTGAGGCAGAGACAAACACATCAGTGCAGAGCATAACGCCAGTTCGTGTTCGGATCAAAAGACTCCCAGTGGCTAGGCCAGCGGAGACGGCAACATCCGCGCAGAGTACAACAACTCTGACCAGTAAGCAAGGCCATCGGTTTTTCCACAGAGATCAGCCACCGACACGAACACGGTCTTCCGTCACCCGCAACGTCTACGAGTTCCTCTCTCAATCCCAGATTGAAGATGACAAATGTCGCGAGGATCCTGCAGCTGATATAATCAAAAAAATGGTAAAGGCCGGCAAAGCGTGTGTAATGGTGCGCTCCAAAAAGGATGGCAAACTTCGTGCCAAGCCCATCAAGAAGGTTAGACCAGTGGGCAAACGAAGGCAATGCTCTCTGAAAAATTTGGAAAACGCAAAGCCCAAAGAGGACACGATAGTGGAACAGATGCATACGGCGGCGCCCTTGTCGCCGATTCCCGAGCCCCACCATGATGTGGATAGCAGCGATGTGGAAGCACACAACGCGGTACCTTTTCAAGTATCTGTGAGTGTGCATAGCCCCCCACAGGCTCGATTCTCGGTCCAACGGAAATCGTCATCGATGCAGCACCACCCCAGCCCATCCGCAGTCGATGGCGCGTACAGCCATTTGGCACGTTCTGTATTGCTTCATGAAACCAAGACACACGATCCACAAAACTCAATGGAGAGACGCC